GCGTCAGGGCCCGGCTCCCGCGGCCAACACCATCCCCGGGGCTGGCCCGGGGCTGGGGAGGAGGCGGGCGCTGCTCCTCCTTCTCCTCCTCTTCCTCCTTCTCCTCCTCTTCCTCCTTCTCCTCCTCCTCCCTCAGCGGCGCCGCCGGAAGTGGGCGACGGCTTTTTCTCAGCAGCGCGCGGCGATCTCGCGACAGTTGCCGGGCGGGTGCCCAGTTCTCGCGAGAGTTGCGGGGCGGCCGCGGGGCGGGCGGTTCGCTCCCGGCAGGGCGGCGCCATTTTAGGGGGGGTGGAGGGCAACTGCCCCTCCTGGGCAAGGGGTCTCCCGGGGCCTGAGGGAAAATGGCGCCCTGCCTTCTGGGCGATGGGTCTCCCGGCGCCTGAGGGAAGTTAACCCCTCCCCGCCACTGTTACCACAAACCTGTGGATAAAACTTTCTTAGTCTCGATTTACAAGTTTTAGAAAGCACACATTCTTTGTGGCAGCGCCGGGTGCGCAGGGAAAAGCTCCTCCTATTGTGCACACCGAATGCTATTGTCAAATTAAATCTATACACAGCAGCTATACGTATTCAATATAATTCCAATAAAAAATTAGTATATTCGCTACATTTCTGAGAATTCATTTACATAGTATAATAACCTCTTGGGCACGCGTAGTTGTGCCTTCTGGTGGTTCTCATTTTGAGGGAGGGTAATTTCTTCCTCCATCTTCTTCACCTGTGCTGCAGACCCCACAATACGGTTTTGTGATCCCATCAGAAAGCCTGCTGGGGCGTGCAGGGGCAAAAAAAAAAAAAAAGGTTGCAAAGTCAACCTCAGAACTGGTATTTCCTGGCTCGTTTGCTTTTTAATAGCAACATCTTGGAAATACAAGCTTGAATATTCAAGGTACCGGTGTATCTTCTCTGCTTTTGCTGGTATTTTTTTCTCTCTGCCCACTACCAAGGTCAAAAATTCAATGGGCTGGCCAGAGTCAAGATAACATTGTTATTATTAGTTAGGCTCAAAGTGCCCTACCTTAATAACAGCTGAGCTGCTCTTCAAAAAAATCAAGAAATCTGCTTCTATTTTATCTTCAGGTATCGCCAGCCCCAGGTATCAATTCCCTTTTCTGTGGCACAGCTGCTCAGTTAGTGTCTGGTCACTGTGACCTCTGCTGGGATTAATAAAATGTTTTTATGAGCCAATTCATAAAGGTGCTGTCAACAAATTGCTGCCTCCTCTAAAGACTAATTAAAGCCGAGGCAATACAGTCCGTAATGGTGTCAGGACTCCTTGCACCCTCTGCCAGTTCCATTTATTAGTGATGAGCGGAATTCAGCAGCCCATGTTCGGTGACCTTCTGGAACTACTTAACAATTTCAATTTGTAACGGCGTGAAGAAAAGTCTTTGAAAATCAGATTAATCTAAACCCGTGGCCCGGTTATTCTTTTTCTTCAGACAGTGTTGTTGTAAGTCTAGACAGAGACACAGGAGTGTTTACTGGAAGGAAGAATCTCCTATTTTTCCTGCGATCCCTCTCTACCCACACAACATCTAGTCTAGGAAAAAATGAAGTGACCATGTTGTATATGCACAAAATATGTATCGCAAGGGATGCGTGATGCATGAGCACATTTCCCACTGCCATGTTTTCTCAACTCGTGTCTATTCATTCTTTTGTTTTGTGTTTGACAGGATGTTTTTCTCATTCTCTCACCTCCTTTTATCACTTAGGCTCGAGGAGTGGAGCGTAAGCTACTCGTGAAGTTGATCTCTCAATCACTCAAGGGTGAGAAGACCAGGATCTTGAGAAATACTGTTCACTTACAGAGTCTTGGTTTTCATGAGCATTGGCCAACCTGGGGCAAATTCAGCAAAAATGCTCCAGTGAAAAATTTCCTGGTGGATACCCCAAATCAGGCACTACACTGCATGTTTGAGGCATCAAAGCACGATATTTCCAGAGGTGCTGCTGAAGGGGCAAGAGTCCCGTAGGATCAGCACCTAAGGAAGTAATCACCGGCGAGCGTAGTCCATAAAGTAATTTCATAATGTTATATCTGTACCTCTGTATCAGTTAGTACTCAAAAACGCTAACAACTGGTTGAAAACTGCTAATAGTTGAAACCCACTTTTGCTTGATGCACACGTGATGGAGTATTTTGTTTTCCCATCACTCTGTGACCTGGCAAGGATTTCGCGTTTCATACAGCAAGAATTTGAGCAGTTGCAGACATCACCTGGCACGGCAAACAAAACTAAGATTCCAGGCAATTACCCAACCATTTTCCATTATCCAACTGTGACTGTTTTTAAAGCTAGAGAAGATGAAACAAAGCATCTTGCATTTAAACTGCCACCATTTAGGGAGTATTTATGTTTCCCTGTATCCTTTTTTTCATGCTTTTATTTAACACATACATCTCTCTGCTGGGGATGGA